AGTCAATAAGAATTTGGCTTGAGTCCTCTTTGGAGTAGAATAACGCTACTAACACGTAGTATCTCTACAAAGTGCTGGCAGAGAAGTTCCATGTATTCTGGCTCACGTGGAAACTAATGGTCTTTTCCATACTCATCAATTACATTACAAGCATTTTTAATTCAAGGAAGAAGCAAGTTCAAACGTGAATAGCATGGGTATCTTGTTTGATCATCTAAACCGAAAGACATCGACACCATCATATGGAAGTGATTACTTTTATTCTCGGTCCTTGGTGATCACGTTTTAAAGATCATTTTTCTCAAGAAGACAAATACATGTAATCTCTAAGTACTTCAAGCCTAGTCGATTGATGGAGTGTGGCAAATTCGTACTCCGCACAAGTCTTGAAGTAGGGGGCATTTGTAGACTTGTAAATTTTATTAAAGTTAAATCCATAAAATAATTTGGATTATATTTTAAATTCAAGATACATTGGTCCAAATAAATATTATGCGCTAATATAATAGGATTAGTTATATAAGTCCAACACATATGGGTTAAATAAATAAGTCTTAATCCATTGGGCTAGCCCATTTAATTGGGCTAAAGTGATGAGCCCACTTCATTAAGCCCAAGATGATATCTTCCTAGAGGCCCAGTTTGGTGCCACGTGTCAAATGACGTGGCGCGCCAAGTCAAGCGGAAGAGCCAATAGGATCATGCTACGTGTGAAAATGACAAGGCATGCCCAGTCACACTGAAAGGCCAATGAAACCGCGCCACGTGTGCAAGTGACATATTCTGGCCAATCAAATGCGGCCATGTCCCACTTCAATTTGATTGATCGGAAAGAGTTTGTTCTTATCACAACTCCCTTCCACAACTATAAATAGGGGTCTTCATAACTCAGAAAAGACACCAGAAGTTATAACAAGAAGCAAGAGAGAGCTCTTTGGATCAAACACTGCAAATTCCTCCACAAGTTTCAAGCTTCAAGCAATCAAGTTCAAGTTCAACAAATCAAGTTCAAGCTCAAGAACGAAGAACAAATCAAGGTTCAAGGAGTGCGAGTTCAAATCAAAGTTCGTGCCAGTTGAATTCAAGATCATCGTTCGTGGCAACAAATATAGATTCAAGATCAAGCTCAAAGGCCCTTGAATTTAATTACAATTGGAAAGAAGAATCAGAGGATCCATAGAGATTGTATACTCAAATATTCGAAATAAAATACTACGATTGTTGCAATATTTTCGCTCTTGATTTTATTTTCTCGGCGCAAATTTATTGTCTACAGAACCACAATTTAAAAATTATTTTTTTTTAAACTTCGTGCCCAGTCAAACAGGTTCACACAAATTGGAACGGAGAGAGTATTAATTAGTAATGTATATATTTTCCAAAAATATTTTCCCCTCATCAACCAAAAATCCAAATTCCACAAAAATATTTATCTATTTAAGAAAAATATTTTTTACGGAAAACGAGTTCCCTTCACTGATTCTAGAAGGGTTTTAATGTGTTTCACTTAATTGTTTTCTGTGGCATTCCTAATTAGCTAGCCCCATAAGGAGATTGTTCAATCTAAAAGCAGTATAGAATCAAAAAGTCAAGTTACAAAAGAACCATACTTTTCTTAAACCTCTCTTTGATTTCTTTTTGTGGGTGAAAAGTGAAATATCAATGGTGGAAGAACTAGGCCAGTCCCGTGGATTGAAAGATTATTCCAAATCCTACTCAAAAGTTACTACCTCCTCTTTTAGGAGTATTTCAAATGAAATAATGATTTTCCGTCACACAGCTTTAATCATTTTTCTATCCAAATACTACTTACAAATATTCTTTTCCAATTTAACTTCAAAAGAAAATGTAATTTTTAAGTTTTATGGATAGAGGAATAAATAGAATTAGACATAATAAAATAGGAATTCAAAGATTTAGTATTTATTTTTTCAATTTCAACCAAATATTATCCAAAAGAAGATAGAATATTATGAATTTGAACCTTATAAAGTCCCTTTTCATTTCTGTACAAAGTTACTGTATAATATGATCAAATAGCTAAGGCAATGCCATGCAATGTTTTCGCATGGAAAAACAACTCAATGACTTGGCCAACACGTTAGCCAAGTGGGGCCTACTCCTCAACCCCTTGATTTTTTCGGTGGGTCCACTCTTATTCTTCTTCTGACTACTCTTCACCAAAGCCGTCGTCTCCCCGCCGTCACTTGCAGGAATCACCGGCGGCGGAACACGACGGTAGCCCTGTCTTTGCTTGATTGCACTTAATTCCATTTCGGGCTTGAATTTTACAGGCCCGAACATGAACATTCTTCTCCGAGATTTCGCTGACATGGAGGTCAGTGCAGTAATATTCACCTTCTGCACATTTTGTGAACTATAAAAACGGGCCGAGTTAGCCTGTTTCTGATTCATCGGCATTATAACGGGCCGATGTAAAGAATTGGAACGAAATAATGGAGATAAATAATTGTCATTTAATTGCTCATCTAATTGCCTTTTGTCATCATTTTCATGACTAATAATTTTTCCGCAGAAAATAATATCTGAAAATGTATAATTTTCAGAATCAGATTCAGTGAAAAATTCAAAAAAATCTTGTGGCGAAGAGGAATTTTTTGGGCTCTCGTTTTCATCCTTCATTTGTAGGTCAGATAAAGAAATTGTTTCAAAATTTTCTATATCTTCTTCTACTCTTCGTTTTTCAGCTTTGATATCCATAATCAAGAAGCTTTTAAGTGAAATACGATGTAAAAGATATATTGTACTATGTTGTGAATAAGTGAAGATTAATGTGAAAATATACATACAATCACAAAAGTGATGTCCTTTTATTTTTCTTATTGTTATTTTTGTTTTTATCTTTATTTTATCTTTTCCTTATTGATGTAACTTACATGGAACGGCTTCTAGATTGAAAGGAATAGAAGGGAATAATTTTAAGGGGTTGATCACATGCAGTGGCGGAATCATAAGTTTATTAAGGAGTGTCAAAATATAAAAAAGTTAAATTCATAAAAATAAAAGTCAATATATAGCATAAATACATAAAAAGAAAAAAGTGAAATTTTTTGGCAAGCGGCTCCGCCACTGATCACATGCTAGTTATACAAAAATTATTAAATATTTTATACTTTATCTCAATAAAATAATATATATATTCTAGCTTAACTTATTATGCTAAACTTATTTTTTTTTGTACGACCAACCAAATACAGTATAAGTTAAGCAACAATTATTTATGATATACTCTCTTTAATTAAATATAAAGTTATTTTATACGAGATTTTATGTTAGTAGTTATTTTATTTTTTTTTTAATATCTCCAATCCAATGACCCAAGGAGGGTGGAAAATGGTAAAGAAAATAAGGTTACTAGAAGAAGACTGGAGGAGGTCAAATAGTGATGTGAAAGAAGGTGGGAAATGGGAGAGGAAGGTAAGAAGTGCTAAAACGTTATCTAGATGATATGATATTATTAATTTCTAACGTCTAGAAGATAATGTGATATTGTCTCGTGAAGAAGCCAAAGACATTGATCAATTTAATGTGTGAATATGGCACCATTAAAATATGCCATTTTCAAGAATGCATAAAATATATTTATATTTTATTATATATTTAAAGATTAACTAATTCGCTCAAAATTCAGAATACGACGTCCTGAAGTTTAAATCTCAACTTCAAATTTAAGATATCGTATCCTAATGTTCGAAAATTATGCACAAAAATTCGAATCTTATGTCCTGAATTATAAATTAGCAATTCAGAAATTCAGGATACTTAGTCCTTAATTTCAAATTAGTAGCTCAAAAATTTAGGACATTAAAAGTCCTGAACTCCGAATTAGCAGCTCGAAAATTCAGGTTACAAAAATTCAAGATACTTATAGTCTGTTTGGCCAAGCTGCAAAAATCAGCTTATTTTGAGAAGTGCTTTTTCTCAAAAGTACTTTTGGTGAGAAGCAGTTTGTGTTTGACTAATTAATTTGAAAATCACTTCTGAGTAGTAATTAGTGTTTGGCCAAGCTTTTAAAAGCTGCTTCTAAGTATATTTTTCTCAAAAGTGTTTTTGGAGAGAAGCTACTTTTTTCTACTTCTCCAAAACTGCTTCTGCTTCTCCTCAAAAGCACTTCTTTTTTTTCTTCAAAAGTTTGGCCAAACACATCAATTTTGAGGGAAAATAACACCTTTTTTTCTAGTATTGGAAAAGCTTGGCCAAACATGCTATTAAGCCTGAAGTTTGGGTGAATTGGCTAATCTTTAAATTTATTGTAAATTGTGAATATATTTTAAACATCATGCTTAAAAATAGCTATTGGTGCACTTCGCCATTTAATATTGGTGAAGCAGTTTAATTGGCAGGGGTAATTACGACGGTGCGAATTAAAATTGCTTGATTAATAAAAGTGTGAACGGAGAGATATGACGAGGCCGTCGTTAACATGGAAAAAAATGAAAGAAAATGATACAAATTACAAATAGGTGCATTTTAGTTGATACTAGACGAATTCTCCAGATTATTAACAAAGGAGACAACTGCAAAAATATGGTGGAATTACAAACTTCTCTCTTCAGCCCCAATGATTAGTCAATCTGACAAACTAAATCTATTTTACAAAATATTTTGATGTTTAGTAAAGAAGAAGCCGTTTTTCTTTCTTCAAATATATCATTCATGTTCTAATTAGTAAAATGTTATAATTAAATATTTAAGACAGAAAAGAGTAGTTTAGACAAATACAAGAGCGTACAGAAAAATAACTTATTGTATTATTTTATGCGGGACAAGTGAAATAAGAGTACAAATATTATCAATATATGGATTAAATTTACTAAAATGACAATAACGCCCCCCATCATCTTCAAAACCAATTTATTTAATACAACACACCAACCATCCAACCACAAATAACCCCTGGATTACTAATTTAAGCATTACATTCCATTCCATGCATTACTTAATTTATCTCTACATTACTAATTTTGCATTATGCAATCTCTGCATAACTAATCCCTGCCTGGCTTGCATTAGAACCAAACGGCCCCTAACTTCACATTAGTTTATTTATTTACACTAATAAATGGATATTGGGGGAATTAGACATCGAAACAAGCATGGAGAGTATTGAAAGCATATGTTTGAGTAGCAGTAAGAAATCCCAAGAGATAGAACAGGAAAAAGTTAGATATCAAATAGCAAACAGTAACACTAGAAACAGTTGCAAGCCAGTGAAAGTGTGAACTCTATTTGTTGCGCTTCTTAGCCTGCTTGCCCTGGCCCTTCTTAGGTGGTCCCTTTCCACGACGTTTCAGCATTTCAAGCTTGCTCAGTCGCTCTTGCTCTTGACGTGCCATCACAAGAGGATCATCTTTCATGATATCATGTGGGTACCATTGTGATACCTTTTCACCAATAAGCTTCTTGCGTAATACCTTGTGAGATGACCTCTGCCCGGTTGGGTTAAGCACATGACCAAATATCCTGGCCCTTGCCTCAGCTACCCCTTCAATGGCTGTAGCAGCTAGCACATTCTTCAGTCTGCCAAAGTTCATTTCTTGGTTCTGAAAGCAGCTCAATACTCGGATTCACTGCACAAAGAAGACGCAGTCTCAACAATGGTTCAGTGAGAATTCTAATGCAATCGCAAATACATCAGACTCCGTGTTCTTAGAAGCACAGCAAAGAGGCAAGGTCCCTAAGGTCTGAAGCTAAAATCAAGAAATGAAGCACACAACTAGCTGAAAATTAAAGAAATACTAAACATATACTACGAATTTAGTACTATAACAATCAAAATGCAAATAAAATAACTAATCTCATTATCTAATACTTTATAATAAAGCCGGATTTTAATCAACTCCTCAAAATAGAGATTCAATGAACCAACTAATGGTCGTTTGGATCGCTTAGGACATCATTGTTTGAAGCTCACACTTCTTTGACGCACTTGGCTTCATCTAAGAAGCACTAACCCCCTGCTACGAATCGATATCTTTAAAGCAATGAAGAGATGACTTTTACTAACACTGATCAGACTAACTAAACATAACAAGATACCATGAGTCAGAAGACGAATTCGTTGCTACCACATTCAAAGTTCATTACTTCTCAGGATCAACAAAAACCGGACTCCATCACTTGGAAAGGTCATTCAAATGGCCTCTTCTCTGTGAAATCTTGCTACAATACACTGTCACCTCAGAATAACAGTGGATCTTGGCCATGGAAGAAAATATGGCATAAAAATGCCCCTCTGAAGGTCTCGTGTTTCTCTTGGTTAGTGGGGCAAGGGACGCCTGCCTCACCAAAAACAACAACCTTCAGCAAAGAGGCTTTCAGATTTGTAGCAGATGTCCTCTCGGTGAAAACCATTATACAAAGAGATGCAAATAACCTATTTTCTCATTGCAAGATTACATATCATTCTGTGGAATTTATTTTTTGCTTTACTCGGCGTCTTCTGGACAATGCCAAACTCCATCAGAGAGCTCTTCACATGCTGGGACAGGGACAGACTCAACAAAAAGCATTACAAAATTTGGAATAAACTCTCCATGTTATTCGGTGGAATGTTTGGACAGAAAGGAACTGTAGAATCTTTGATGGCAACAAGAGAAACATTCTTAACCTCAAGTCCAGAGCTTTTTCATAACTAGTTTGTATGTGCATAATGTCTAATCTAGGATCTGCACAACTTGGAAATATGTTTTATTGCACTATCTTAGTGCTGTTTATTCTCTAATAAAATCTCTTACTACTTGTAAAAAAAAGTTCATTACTTTAACAACTTTCATGAGAACTTCTACCTCATCCTTAAAACCCCTGATCAACAAAGGTGAGTTTTTCCCTCTCCCTTTGTCTTTTGGTACAGCTTTATAAAATGCTTAGCATCCATTGAAATGGATCAATAATAATAATTTCCACGAGACCTTCTAGCTTCTCTTTCATAGTCAATAAGGGTGATGATGTCGTCAACCCTAACGGGTATGAACACCGCTGTCACCTTTGCCCAAGAATTTCTCCTACCTATTGCACCTTCACTACTGCACGTTTCACTTCACCTGTGAATCTACTTACTCTACATATACCCCAATTAAGAAAAGAGTGTAAAAAGTAAAAACCAATTAGCTAGTACAATTTTCCAGCTAACAACGATATTACAACATGATCATACTATACCTTAGGCAGAGTTTGAGAATAACTTGAAATGACAGCAATTTCAGTGAAATGTTGGCATTCTCAACAAGATGGTCTACAATCAAGTATACTACATGAAGTGCAATTGAAACTGAGTGTGGCCTAGTAATATGAAGGTGCATCTTTTTCTTGGTTCTATAAAATTGTAGGACAGAGATGGAGCCATCAACGCGCTATTAATGCACCTTTTTTACAACAAGAAAATAAGATATGATAAAATAGCACATGAGATGTCATAATCATTGGCGGACTTTGTCCTTGCTAAAAACAATCATGGGTGGACTGACAATATTTGTACTATGATATGAGTTAAATTAAAAAGACGTGTCTGTATAAACCGTACTTATTCTGAACAGTCTAAATATAAGAGTCGTCTCAGGTTATAATTAATAAACCATAGGATTTCCCCACCCCGTAAATTATAAACGTAGGATTAAAAGATGGTGTTCTTTAACCCAAACGGAAGGAGAAAAAAAAGATTGAAAAAGGACGATGAAGAAAAAACATGGCTCCCGCCCCTATGTTTAAATTATGAAGGGCTCACTATTATACTAGTAGTAAATTAGAAGAGAACGACCAGAATACGAGGTTCTTACCCTCATGTTTAGAGTACGAACAACTCAAACAACATTTCGGGCTCGTTGTATTAATTCGCAGCGACAAGTTTCATAACTTATACAGATTCTGTGTTATTCGTAAAAATTTATTAATACAAACAATTGCAAATGTCAATAAACAGTCCCAAGGGAAACATGAAAATTGAACTGAAACCAAAACAGCTTAAAAATGAAGACTTTAGAGTCTAAGTATTAGCTAACAATTTATTTTAATGCAGAGAATTGTAATGAAAAAAATATGAAGATTCAGAACACAAAAAAAGAACCACAGAGAGAAAACAAACGGAAAAAAGTTGGTACTGTCTGACCTAAATCATTTGCAGAAACAAATAATTAAAATGCTGGCAGCAATACAAGTTGAAAAATGACTATTTCTGATACCGTCCAAATTCAATTTTCCGTGCGAAAAAATGGAAATGGCAGGAAAAAGTAACTACACGACTTCAGAACTAATAAATTGCCAGTAGGTAGAATCAAATGCACCATAAACCCAAATCCATAACCACGCAGGCATACAATACCATGACACCAACAGCTAAATCCCACACGCGCGCGCGCGCACACACAGCAGAGACAGAGAGAGAGGTGGAAAGGAGCTCACCGGAGAAGCCGCCGACGGCGTTGGATGACGGGAGAGCGGCGACCGGTGTGCGCCCTGAGGGTTTCTTCTAGCGGGTAGCGATGGTTTTGACGTTTGAGGGTTTATTGATCTAGAGTTTTTTCCCAAATTGTGAGATTTTCGGTTGAAACTTTTTATTACTCCGTAATTTGTGTCAAAATTTCATAAATGAAATAAAAGAATAAAGAAAAGAAGAATATTGCAAAGAAACACGGAGGAATTCTATTGATTATGGGATTAATTACAAAGAAATATAGCCCCAGGGAAAAAGTGACTTAGTCATCCAGTAACAAACCCTAGAATCTCTCTAAAATATAGACATTAACATTAAATACAATTCTATTTATAACACCTCCTTAAATGTCTATTCAACAAATAATGTGCCTCATTAAAACCTTAACTAAAACAAATCCAGTGGAAAAAAATTCTAGTGAAGGAAAAAGAGCACGATGTTTAGACATACGCGTTTTGGTTGCCTCGTTAAAACCTTGCAAGGAAATCTCAGTGGGACAAAATCTTGTAAGGAAAAAAGAGTACAACGCGTCTTAACTCCCCCTGATGAGAGCATCAATCCACATCCTTTGAGCCTTCACATCCCAATCTTGTACACTAGCTTTTTGAAGGTTGACGTTGATAGAGATTTGGTGAACAAATCAGCCATATTATCACTTGAATGAATCTGCTGCACATTGATATCACCATTTTGTAACAACCCCACCGGTCGTTTTACTTTCTAGATTCCCGTCCCCCTAAATAAGACTTTTCATATGTGCTTTTATTGTTTTATGACTTACGGGGATGGTTAGTTCGGGTTTGGAAGGGTTCGGGTTGAAATCGGAACACTTAGTTCCTTAATATTGGCTAAAAAGGGCTAAGTTTGTCTTGAGTCAATAGTTTGAGTAAACGACCTCGGAACCGGGATTTGACGGTCCCAATAGGTTCTTATGATTATTTTGGACTTGGGCGTATGTTCAGATCGGGTTTTGGATGACCCAGGAGCGTTTTAGAGCTTAATATTGAAAGTTGGCATATTGAAGGTTTTAAAGTTCTTTAAATTTAGTTTGGAGCAGGTGTTGGTGTTATCGAGGTCAGTTTGCGATTCCTGTTACACCTCATGTTTCTGTACTAGGAAGTACGCCATAAATAAATTGATATAAGCACGGAAATGAGATATTACATTCCGCATTTCGTACGTTAAAGTTTCGTCATAAGTTAATCAACGTAGACTCGGGGATGAGGTTATCTTGAGGTTATACGCATTTATGCTACTTATAACAAGTGATAAGTAAGTGGCGTGAAGGATAAAGAGTAAACGAATCAAAGAAAATGAGTTTCGTTGAAGGTTATCGATTTGGGATAAAATAGGTCCGAGCCATAATACCCGATATTTATGGGCTAGTGCCATACAAGGTATACCATGACCACGATAGTAGGATATGTAAAGTGTATTAAAAGTGAGTAGTATTTTAAGTAATTTGAGATAATTCTTAATTATGTGGGTAATTGGTTAAATATTAAATTAGTGGGGAATTAATTAATTGATTAAGGATTTGGTGGGTGGTTAAATAAGGTCTTTGAATAATGACCAAAGAATCTAACGTGGCAGCAAATTTTTTCCAAATTATGACTCATATTATGAGATTTAAAGGTGGCACACTTGAAAAGGGTTAGGTGACACTAAGCTTGGAATGTGGGCCCACCTAAAGTTAAGAATAACAATCATAAGATCAAAATCAATTCCTAATCTCTTAAAAAAAGAGTTCAGCCAAACTTTCCTTGCATAAGTCACGTTAAACCATTCTAATATGCATCTTCATATTACATATCATATAAGCAACGCCCAAGACCTTCAACAACTCAAATTAACGTGAGATTTGGTAATTTTAAGGGAGTACGGTGTAATCTTTCTCAAGAGAATCGACTCAGGTATGTTAAGGCTATCCATTATTTCCTTTTGGCACGATTCATACGATACAAACGAAACGAGCATATACACAACTTCCATAAATGACTCTATTTATAGAAATATTAGAGATGCCTATATTCTTGATTCCCCATGTGTCTCATTATTCTATCATCTGTTCATGGATCTCAGAAAAATACGTAAGTTGAAAAAAGTTTACTTCATGATATAAATCAAAGGCATAATGGTCTTATGACACTCCGAAAGATTTTACTGACGTACTTCTCATGCATTGCATTCATTTATACATGTACATTGACCCTTGACCAGATGGCGTTATATACGCATATATATGTATATTATATTTATATGGGATATGGAAAAAGGTTACGGCGTTATATACGCACCACCGCTTGATCAGCTAGTATACGTTGTGATTTTGCCCACAGTGGCCGAGATGATATGATGGGATGCCCTCAGAGGCTTGATGATGTTATGAACACATGTACCTATGCACAACATGACATTCATATGCATATGCATGACACTATAAGTATTTCATGATTTACAGAGTTATCCAGACTTACATGTTGAGTCATTTACTCTATATTTCTTCCATGTCTTTTATGTACTTATTTATGTGCCTTACATACTCGGTACATTATTCGTACTGACGTCCTTTTTTCCTGGGGACGCTGCGTTTCATGCCCGCAGGTCCCGATAAACAGGTCGAGAGTCCTCCAAGTAGGCTATCAGCTCAGCAAAAGATGTTGGTGCGCTCCATTTGCTCCGGAGTTTCTTGTCTGGTCAGTATGATTTAGACACGTATTGATTGGTATGGCGGGGCCCTGTCCCGACCTTTATGTTAAGTATGTACTCTTAGAGGCTTGTAGACAGATGTCATGTATACGAATGCTTGTATGGCCTTGCCGGCCTATGTTTTGAGTTTACAAATGATCATATTGGCCTTATAGGCCCGTATATCACATGTATAAGTTTTTATATCAGGTTGGGTCGTCCTATATTGAGTATTCCCCTATGTTATTCTTGTTAGCCCATGACGACCCGTTTGGCCCATTTGCCAATGAAAGTACAATAGGAAAGATATGTTATGTTGGTACTCGGTCGAGTAAGGTATCGGGTGCCCGTCGCGGCCCATCGGTTTGGGCCGTGACAATTTCGAGCTAGAGAATAGTTTCGTATGGTGATTTAAGACTTGCACACAAAATTTGGTGTCATTCCGAGTAGTTTAAGTGTCATTTGGCGCGTTCGGAGTAAGTTGGAAGAACTTGAAGTTCATAAGTTGATTCTATTGGTTTTGGGTTGTGATTCTTAGTTTTAATGTTGTTATCTGCATTCCGAGGGCGCGAGCGAGTCTGTTTTATGTTTTCGAACTTGTTGGTATGTTTGGGCGAGGACCCGGGGGCCTCAGGTGCTAATCGGACGATACACTGATCAACTTTGGACTTGGAGGAAAAGGTTGAAGCAGCAGAGCTTCTGGTGCAATCGCACCTACGAGGAGCTAGTCGCAGGTGCGAGCGTATGGATGCAGAAGAGGTTTTCGGCGAGTTGGTTGTGGCCCGCAAAAGAGGAGGGATTTCCGCATAAGCGGCCTCGCTTCTGCAAGGGAAGGGCCGCAGGTGAGAAGAGGGCCGGCCAGGCCTGGGTCGCAGATGCAAGAGGCGAGCCGCAGAAGCGGGCTCGCAGGTGCGGTGTCCTTTCTGCAGGTGCGCCCAGTGCTGGGCTTGGTGCATTCCGCAGAAGCGGACCTTTGTCCGCAGAAGCGGTGTCGTAGGTGCGACCCAAGGTCCGCAGAAGCGGAATCGCTGGAGGCAGTGAGGTCTTTTAATGTTGGGACTTAGGCCATTTTGGTTCACTTCTTATCCGATTTTTGGAGCTTCTTAGAGAGGGGTTATCACCTAGCTATTGAAGGTAAGTAATTTCTATCCAATGTAAGTTGAATACATAGATTATGGGTAGATTTTAACATGAAAACTTGTGAAATTTTTGGGATTAGTTGAAAAATCTAAGTTTTGACAAAAATAAGATTTAATCACGAAAATAATTATGGAATTGGGTGAAAATTATATATTTGAGTTCGTGAAGTTATGGGTAATGTTTATCTTCAAAAATTTACGGAATCCGAGCACATGGGCTTGGGGGTGAATTTTAGGAATCTTCCAATTTGTGTTGGGTAATTACTCTAATAGTTAAATTATGAAATTTCGAACATGTATTGATTAATTTATATAACATTTGGCTAGTTTTGGATTGTTCGGCACCGAGTTGAGGCTTTAGAACATTTGTGGACCGAAAAGTGAGCTTTGAGACGAGGTACGTCTCTTGCCTAACCTTGTAAGAAGGAAATTACCCCATAGGTTATTTAAATTACTAATTGCTTCTAATTGCGGAGGCTACGTATGCACGAGATGACGAGAATCCGTGCGTAGCTACTAATTATGCTTATGTCCGGGTAGTTTAGTACCCAAATCATGAAATGCTTGTAATGTTTGCACCCTACTTGTTAATTAAGGTGCCTAAATTATATTGGAATTTGATAAAGGGATTGTAAAAGACAGAATTTCACGTACTTGAGTTTTGGCGGGTTACTTGACCGTTAATAGAAATTGTGCTCTTTGTGTATTAGCCTTGTAATAACTTTTAAATCAGATGTTCATAAAGTTTCCTCTCTTCTTGTGGAACGGGCCAAATGCTTCGGTAATAGAATAGATGTATCTATGGTTCGTGTCGGTCGACCCTCGGCTATGTACACATTATTTTGGATCGGGTCGTACGACCTCGGCATAAATCGTGCGTGATAATGTTTGGAGTCCGAACACACTTGATATTACTTCAATGACTTAAGAGGTTATAATTTATTTAATGGCCTGAAATTATTGAAGTAGTTATTATGTTATTATTATTGTTGTTATTCATGTACCCTATGCCTATTAGAATTTCTGTATTTTATTACTACTGGCTCGTAGTAAGTGTCGAAGTCGACCCCTCGTCACTACTTCTTCGAGGTTAGACTGGATACTTACTAGATACATGTTATTTATGTACTCACTCTACACTTCTTCACTAATCGTGCAGGATCTGAGGCATGTGCATCTGGCAGTCATACCAGTGCGTACCACCGATACCCCGAGGCCTAGTGGTGAGCTGCTTCATGAGCCGTTCTGCAACGCCCAGAGTCTCTCTTTTGCATTTAGTTTTTGTCTACTTTATTTCAGACAGTAGT